AAAATGACAGGCTATCAGGATTATTTAAATCACTCTGAGTAGGGCCTCTCCTGTGGCGCAGCTGTTGAGCGCTGGGCTGTGAAGCTACCTGCAGCCTCTGCAGCTCCAGTTCAATCCCCGGCTGCGGGCGAGGGTCCCACATGGCACGCAGACCTCTCCTGCCATGCCCGCTGCTTCCCTCAGCAGTGTATTTCGTCAGTCTGTCTGTTCTGTTCCCCACTCTGGCTCTTATAAATTCTCTCACCCTCTCGCTCATCTGGCCTGTACCCTGGTTCTTGTGTAAAATAAATAAATAAATCTTTAAAAAAAAAAAATCACTCTGAGTAAATTGTAAAGCTAAAGAGATGCAGAGCTAGATGAGGATATTGGCTCTCATCATCCCAGCCCTTCAATCCTCCCCTAAAGTCCCTCAATAAAATGGTTTGATCCAAAAAATAAAATAGGGCCTTCCTGGTGGCCTAGGGGTTAAGTCTCAGCACTATCACCACTGTGGCCTGAGTTCAATCCCAGGCCAGGTTGCTGACCCACATACAGCACAGCAGACCTCTCCTGTCTCATCTCAGCAGCGTATTTCAATAGATCTGCCTGTTCTGCTCCCCATGCTGTCTCTGGTGAAACCTGTCACCCCCCCAAACCTTTGGCCTAAACCCCATTTCTTCTATGCATAAATAAATAAATAAATAAACCTCGAACATAAATAAAATAAATCACTCTACACATGCCTCAACCCAACAAAGTCAGGGAGTCACAGCAAGTGGCCTTTATCAACCCTGCCAGCCACTGGGGCACAGTGTCCTTTATGACACCACTCCTCTCTACCTCAGCAACTCTCTCTCTACATAGTGAGGCCACAGGTGCCCCCAGAGCCTTCCAAGGTGTCAGAGCAGGAAATAGGGGCAGAGGGGCAGCTCTTTAGCCCTGACCTTCCTTTGAACTCACTGAGAGGCTCCTTCATGGGTTTGTACAGTCAATAATTCACCAGCCTGTCAAGGCACTAGTCCTGTTAATGAAGCCCAAGATGGTGAGGCAGACTCTCTCTCCACCCCCTAAAATAATGACCATTTCCTGACAACCTACTATGGTCCAGCACAGCACATGGTATTTGACTTGTCATATTTAATCCTCACAGTAATCCAATGAGGTAGATATTATCCAGGCCACAGTAGGACTTACGTGGGTCATAGGCACTGTTGCCTTTATAGGTCCCTGCCTCAACAAAATTGTTTAAAATCATATTTCATGACTGCACTGATATTAAGATATTAACATTATCTTAATATTGTATATTAAGACATTTTCTTTGATCTAAAAGTTTATTTTTCTCCTAATTTGCAAAAAAACTAAAACATTTTTATGAGTCTCTAGAAGTATCATGGGCCTTAGATGTTTTACCTTTTGTGCCTGATGGATAGATCCATTATGGATATTATTGTTACCATTCCACAGATGAGAAAACTGCAGCTTAAATTACAGACCTAAAAAGAGGTAGGAAAAGATGTACGGCTGATTTATCTGAGACAAAGGTGGCAAGACAAATCACTGGGGAAAGAACTGAGTCTTCAGGGACAGCCCTGGTGACCTGAGTCTCAGTGCTATCACCACTATAGCTAGAGTTTGATCCCGGACCAAGGAGCTACCCACATGGCGCAGCAGACCTCTCCTGTCTCACCCACTGCTCCCCTCAGCAGTGTATTTCAGTAGCTCTGCCTGTTCTGCCCCCCACTCTGCCTCTGGTGAATCCTCTCACCCCCCGCACCTCTGGCCTACACCTCAGTTCTTGTATGCAAAAATAAATAAATCTTTAAAAAAAGAGAGAGACCCATGAGACACCAGAAAAGGCAAAATTAATGCCTTTGTGAGTGTGTACCCATGAGCTACGGGGTGCCAGGTGGCATCAGAGCAGAGGAGCAGGATTTGGCCATGCACTGAGGGACTGAGAGAGGATTTCCTAGGCACATGGGAAGGCAGGGGTGGGCATGATACAGGGATTCACAGGGGGATATGTTTGGCTAGAATGGTGGGCATGTGAGGTAGAGTCCCCGGAAAAGAAAGTTGGTGCCAGATCTTCAGAGGCCTTGGTTTTTAGGTTAAGGAGATTTGTACACGCTTCAGATTGTAGGCACTTGGGAGCCATTGATGAGGGGACACATCTGGATAACACATGCTTAGAAAGGAGAAGCCACTTGCCTGGAGCTTCTGGTGCTCAGAGGGCAGGAAAGTACAGGGTAAGGAAAAGGAGCTTGTGTGAGATAAGGGAGGCCCAAATACCTGTAAGTCATTTTTGAGTTAATGTCAGTGTACGGTATGAGTCAGGGGTTCACTTCATTTTTCTGTATGTGGATAGCCAGTTGTCACAGCAACATATATCAAAAATACAGTTGTTGTTTGTTTTTTTGCAAGGAAGAACTGGGGTGTAGGCCAGAGGTGCAGGGGGTGAGAGGATTCACCAGAGACAGAGTGGGGAACAGACCGGACGTAGTGACTAAAATACACTGCTGAGGGGAGCCGCGGGCGAGACAGGAGAGGTCTGATGCACCATGTGGGTCAGCTCCCTGGCATTTCATGCTGTAGTGGCCAGCAGTAGCTTGTAGTAGCTGATAGCGCTGTCTTTAAGCCCTGCGCCACCAGGGAGGCCCAGGTCTCTCTATTTACCCCCACACATTTGTCCCTTGAGGCACATGTATTCCTTGAGGACAGATCAATAAACAACTCAAGGCACTCCAAACAGTATCTGGCACCCCATGCTACTCACAAACATCACACCAAACCACCTGAAGAGAATCAGTCTCACCCATAATCATCTCACTGCCCTTTTACCCCTAATGGCAGTTTTCCTGCCAACTAGAAACACCACAGGCAGTTTGAACAAGTGGTTAGAATGTTAATGGGTGAAAATGGGCTACAGCCACATCTCTTTCGTAGAAATTAATCACTATGAGCTTTATGACCTTGGTTGCCTTAACTACCCAGCTGCTGGTTGGCAGACACTGCTCAGCCCAAGGGGTGGAAATGTTCTCCTGGAAGGGTGATGTCAGCCAGGGGTGAGATGAAGGGGATAAGAAATCAGCATTTGAGGTACTAGCACCTCTTAAATCTTATGCGTCACTCATTGGAACCTCTCCTTCCTCTTCTTCAACTCCAACTGAGACAGCCAAGACATTTAGAAGTTCAAAGGGTATCCTGCAGTTCTCCTCTGACAAGGTCCCAGGAAAGGGAGCAAAAGAAAGCCAGGCTAACGCCCCCAAGCCTGGGTTTAAAGCAGGACTGCCCGCATCAGAGGTGCCCTTCAAGCTCCTAACCACTACTGCCACCTGGTGCCCTGCGGGTACATCCTATAGGGTCTGACCAGCCCTACCCTCTAGTGTAGCACTACCCAAGAGAAATACAATGCAAGCCACAAATGTAATTTTAAATTTCCTAATAGCTACATTTACAAAGGTAAAAAGAAACAGATGAGGGGTCTCCCAAAAGCAAGGGATTAAGTCTCAACACTATCAAGCTATCTCCAGCCACTGTGGCCTGAGTTTGATCCCTGTCTCACAGGCTGCTCCCCTCAGCAGTGTATTTCAGCCATTCCACCTGTTCTGCTCCCCACTCTGTCTCTGGTGAATCTTCTCACCCCCACACTTTTGGTCTATGTATGCATAAATAATTAAAATAAATCTTAAAAAAATAAATTACTTTTTAAAAAGATGAAATAATATATCACATTTAACACAACATAGCTGAAATAGCACTTCAATATGCAATCAATATTTTAAAAATTATTGAGGTATTCTATATTCTTTTCCCAGTGCTAAATCTTTGCATTGAGGGACTGAGAGAGGATTTCCTAGGCACATGGGATGGCAGGGGTGGACATGATACAGGGATTCACAGGGGGAAATGTTTGGCTAGACTGTTGGGCATGTGAGGCAGAGTCCTAAGAAAAGAAAGTTGGTGCCAGATCTTCAGAGGCCTTGGTTTTTAGGTTAAGGAGATTTGTACACGCTTCAGATTGTAGGCACTTGGGAGCCATTGATGAGGGGACACATCTGGATAACACATGCTTAGAAAAGAGAGGCCACTTGCCTGAAGTGTAATAAAAGGGTTGGGGCCCAATGGACTGTGCTGGAGGATTTTCAAAGCTTTGGAGTAATGTGGTGTGGTAACACACATCTGAAGAGATGTGAACCCGTACTCCTGAATCATACAGTTTTGTAAACCAATGTCACCCAATAGCAATGTACAATTTTTTTAAATATTAGAAAAACAATAAAATCCAAGCTCCTTGCCTGGCCTTGCCGTAGCCTTCATTACAGGCTCACTAAACCTCACTGCTCATCGTTCCCAACACTCATGATACAAACCTGCTAAACTCTCCCACTTTCTGCTCCCTCTGTCTAGAATGTTCTTCCTCTCATCTTTGCATGATCATCATTCAAGTCAGAGTGCTTTTCCTTCACAACCTTATCTGCCACTGTCTCCTCATCTTTAACCATTCTCTATGCTATAATCTTACTTTTTTTTTTTCTTCATAGCATTCCTCACTCCCTGACATTGTTTTCTGGTCTCCTTCCACTAGAACATAGTGCTGTAAGAAAAAAAAAGATTTCCCTTCTATTGTTCAAAAATGTTCTAGCAAATGGAACAGTAAAATATGAGTGAGTGAACAAGTTAGCGCTTCTCCCTCAGTCTAGAAATTCTCTCTACTCCATGGGTGACTCCATTTCCTTCCTGCTTTCTTTTCTATTGCAGCATCTGTTTTGCTACCCTCATAGCACAATTTTAACTATAGTCAGTTGGTTTACTTGTCTTTTTTTTTTCTTCCTTTGCTCCTTCCACAACTCTGTACGCTGCCCACCATAAACAAGGGCAATGTCTGTATGGTTCACCTCTGTCACCTCCTGCCTAGCACAAAGCCTGACATGTGGTAGATTCTGGTAAATGCTTGTTGAATGAATAACCAACTCTTCCCAGTACTTCTGGCCCTGCCCAGATATCTGATTCCAGGCACGTACCAGGCACCACCAAAAAGCCGGCCTTGTCCTGGTCTCCTCTGACTTCCAGAAGTGGCTGTCACCATGTCACTGGACCTCTGAGGGAGCCTGTGCAGGATGGGGACCCAGCCTGGAAAAAAGGAAAGGGACTGGATGGAAAGAGACAAGACCATTCCTTGCCCCCAGGGTATGCCCCAGACTAGCCCACACCCTGCCCTGCCCTCCCTCCCCCAGGGTCAGCAGAGCTCTCACCCAAGTTGGGTTGAAGGAGCATTTCTGACTCCTGAGACACGGCTACCACCTTCCCAGTACCAACCCCCCAACCCCATCCCTGCTGGGCTGGGCACATGGCCAGGCCCTTCCATCTTCCGCTGACCAGCAGCAGGTCAAAATACCTGTTGCCGACCCCCACATGTGGTGGGGCAGAGTTCCACAATTCCGTGGGGGTTCTCCCCTCTGGAATTTTACTTCCAATCAAGTGTCAGGCCTTAGAGATCAAGGAATTCAAGTTCCTCACTGTTACAAAAGCCCAGAGAGAAGCAGGGACTTGCCAGGATCTCAGATCTAGGGCCCCAACCCCGAATTCCTGTGGGTAGAGGTAACAGCCCACGCTCTCCTGGAGCCCTGGGGATCACCCCACCCCTGCTTTTTCTTTCCTCCATTCCCCCTCCTTCACCTCCAGAAAACCACAAGTCTGGTTATAACCTCCCCTCACCTGGCTCGCCCCTCTGTGGTCTCATATGGAGCCCACAGTGTGGGGCAGAGTAGGGGTGCAGATGGCAAGTTGTGAAGACTGTTTCCCCTCTTGAGAGAGATGCAGGGTAACGCTGAGGCCCAGAAGGGGTAAGTGGCTCCCACCGGACACACCACCAGGAAAAAGCAATGCTAATGCTTGATCGATAATGATTCGATCTTCAGCTCAGGGCCCAGTTCCACTATCGCTGGGACCCCGTGGCAGGGGTGCATGTGCTCATTGACCGGCAAGAAACTGAACAACTGACTAAGGGACTAATGAAAAATGTGGCCTTGTGACTGACTGACTGACTGACTGACTGTCTGGCTGACTGGCTGACTGACTGGCTGGCTGACTGACTGGCTGGCTGGCTGACTGGCTGGCTGACTGGCTGACTGACTGGCTGGCTGACTGACTGGCTGGCTGGCTGACTGGCTGGCTGGCTGACTGGCTGGCTGACTGACTGACTGACTGACTGACTAGCTGGCTGGCTGGCTGGCTGGCTGGCTGGCTGACTGACTGACTGACTGGCTGACTGGCTGACTGGCTGACTGGCTGACTGGCTGACTGGCTGGCTGGCTGGCTGACTGACTGACTGACTGTCTGGCTGACTGGCTGACTGACTGACTGGCTGACTGACTGGCTGACTGGCTGACTGACTGACTGATTGTCTGGCTGACTGGCTGGCTGCTGCGGGTGTTGCCGGTGACGCCGAGGCTCTCAGCCTAGGTCTCCGCCTCCCGCTCACCTTAGCCAACTCAACTCTTGGGCTCCCGCACACCAAGAGGTTCCAGCACCGACCTGCACCGAGCTGGGTGAGCGGCCGCGACTCCTTTCAAGGGCCAGGTTGGCGCCCCTGCGCGACCCACGACGCCCCCTGGTGGCGGCACCCGGAAGGGAGGGGAGGGGAGGGGAGGGGAAGGGAGGGGACGGCGGACGGGTTGGGGGGCGGGGCTAAGGGTGGACCGCCGGCGCGGACGCGGCGCGCTGTCCTCTGCCTTCCTAAACTCATCCCTCTTTCCTGCCTCCTTAGTTCGCCTTCCCCCTCCCCCGGGGCCACCGCTCTACCCCTCCCCAGTCAGAGGGCGGGCCCCCTCGGGAGTCTGAGTCCCAGTGCGGACCTGTCGAGTGACCCGATAAAGGACAAGGAGTTCCCGGCTTCCCTCGCAATCCTCTGGCAGCCGGGGCAGCCCGCCGGCTCCGGAACCCCATTGGAGTGGGGGACAAGGAAACCCTCTGGGCCCGGAGCAGAGACTGATCCCAGCGGGCGTGGAAACCCCACCACCCCGCCGGGCTCCCAGAAATCCTTGAGGACTCTTCAAGGATCTGGGGCGCTTGAGTGGGCAACAGCGGGTGATAACGCTTTGTATCTGTTTCTGGGCCCAGAATCACCCCTCAATCCCCACTTGCTCCCTCGCTCCATCCCTCGGTGCCCCCGCCCTCCCGAGTGCCTGTCTGGAGCGTGGCGAACACGAGCGAGCTCCCTAGGTGGCAGCAAAGGCCAAAGAAAGTGTCCCCAAAAAGGTCCCTCCCTTCGGCCCTAATCCCAGAAAGACCGGGAAAGATTTAACAGAGAACTGGAGTCTAGAGTGACAGGAAATATGATCACAGAGGATTTGAACTCTGACTTCCTGCCCTGGGCAAAGAGGAGACAAGGCAGAAAGGAGAGGCTGACAAGGGTAGTCCATAGAGAGTGATGGTTCCAAGCACAGATGCACCCAGCCCTGCCCTCAAGCGTGTCTGGGAATCTCCTTACCTCTCTGAGGTTTGGTTTCCTTACCTGTAGAATTAGGGACAAGAAGGACACCTACTTCATAACATGTTCTCAGGGTTAACTGAGATACTGCCTGGAAATCAGTTAACACAGTACCTGACACTCATGAGTGCTCAGTAAATAGTACATGATTAAACCGAAAGGAGCATCCCGCAAGCCACCAAGACCATGTCTGGATGGGACCTGTGTGTGATGGCCTTTTTTAATGTGTCAATCCAACACTAAATACACATGTTGTGATAATGGTATTTTGCAGATGCAAATACAGTCCGTTATCAATTGACTGTAAGGAAGATTATCCTATATATCTGGGTGAGCCTGATTCAATCAGTTGAAAGTCCTTAAGGTCAGAACTAAAACTTCTCTGAGGAAGAAGAAATTCTGCCTATATACAGCAGCTTCCACCACGGACAAGTGTTCCAACCTGCACCTGTCAATTCCAGACTTGTCTAGCAAGCCCCAAACACATAAATCAACTCACCGTGGGCCTCTCCTGGTGGTGCAGCGGTTGAGTGCTGGGCTGCGAAGCTGCCCACAGCCTCTGCAGCACCGGTTCCATCCCCAGCCGCTGGCAAGGGTCCCACAGGGCGCGTCAGACCTCTCCTGCCGTGCCCGCTGCTCCCCTCAGCAGTGTATTTCTTCGTCAGTCTGCCGGTTCTGTTCCCCGCTCTGGCTCTGGTGAATTCTCTCACCCTCCCATGCTTCTGACTATACCCACTGCTTGTATAAATAAATAAATTTCAATAAATAAATAAATCAACTCCCTGCAATAAATCTCTTGCTATGCATCTCCTACTAGTGCCATTTCTCTGGCTGAACCCTGACAAATATAATACATGGAGGAAGTGTGATCCCACACACTGGCATACTGGGGCCCAATCCTCATGTTTATTCACTCCTTTTTAAGCTCAGGGTGATTTGTGGTTTTCAGGAGCATGTAGTTGATGTTATGTTTAGAAAACCATAGTTGTTTGATGTTGGGGTTGAGGGTAGGGCTAGGAAGTGGGTGAGGGTGGAGGGCCCAGGTGCAGGCTGCTTACTCCCTTCCATCACCCCTGCCCCCAGACTTTCAGCCTCATGAATGTGACCCACTTATTTCTAGGCTTTTTCTACCGTCCCTTTTTCCCAAGGGAGGCCAGGCTCATCATCCTCCTCCCCCTGTGGCAGGTGTAGGATTAGGAATGAGGGGTACAGACTCTGCTATCTCCCCAGGAGCCAGCTGGTGAGGAGGAGGCCTCTCCCTCAGCAACCAGTCAGTCCACATGTTGCTGTACTGCTTCTCCCGCCTCCATCCCACGGGCCATGTGTCATTGTACACCCACATCCCTGCAGTCCCGCCCTAATGCTAACAGCTGCTAACATTCATCGATTACAGTCTACATTGTATGTGACAAGTCCTTCACTCATCTCATTTGCCACAAACCTATGGGGCAGGAATTAATACTATTGTGCCCATTTGACAGAGGAGGACGCCAAGGCACAGAACCATGTCCTCAGTCAACCACCTGTTTCTCCTCCTGTAGAGATCTTCTCAGGTAGCTTAAAAATTAGCCAAAAACATCTGTGGGAGTGGGGCATAGCAAGGAAGTAGCTCTGACATTGAAGCTCCCCCAAGTTGAGAGGTCTTGTCACTTCTAAGACTCTCTGCTTGTTCCCCAGCACAAAGGATGGTGATGAAGATAAGAGGTTGGCTTGAAAACACTTGGCTTCCCTTCCGTCCTTTCACCAGGGATGAGGGAGGCTGGTAAAATGCGGTCTGGAGGGTGAGAGTGGGCTTAGGAGACCTGGTGCAGCCACATGTAAACTGTGAGGCCTTCAGCAAGTTCTGGAGCTTCTCTTAGTCTCAGTTTCCTCATCTTGGAGGTGGGCCAATGCAGAACCCCTTCCTGGGGCTCCTGTGGGGATAGTAAAGCACTGACACACACTGGCACTCAGGCTTAGTACACCCCTCAAAATAAAACAAAAACAAAATCTGCTTTTCCCAGGGACAGAATTTAAAGAGACACTCCTTTAAAGTCTGACCCTGAGACAACAAATCTTAAATGTTACACCCTGGCACCTCCCCTACTTCCCTCCATCTGGACCTGTCCCCTTTCCTCATCTGAGACAGCAGCATAGTCACTTCCCTCCCCCAAGTCACTCACACATCCCAAATGTCACCCTTCCTTACCCTCATATCCCCTTCCATACCCTCATATCTAGTCCCTAGCAAATCCCCTTGGCTCTGCCAACCAAATATATCCACTATGCCTCTCCATCTCATCCCCACCACCCAGGGCCCTGCCACCCAATCTCCCTTCTGGGCAAACTGCTCTTCCACTCTGCCCAGTACAACAGAGAGGGTGAATTTTTTTTATTAAGATTTATTTATTTATGCATAGAAGAACTGGGGTGTAGGGCAGGGGTGTGGGGGTAAGAGAATTCACCAGAGACAGAGTGAGGAGTAGAATAGGTGGATCCATTGAAATACACTGCTGAGGGGAGAAGCAGGCGAGACAGGACAGGACTGCTGCGCCATGTGGGTCAGCTCCCTGGCTGGTATAGAACTCAGGCAGCGGTGATAGTGCTGAGACTTAACCCCTAGGCCACTGGGAGCCCCCCAGCCAGCGTGAGGTTTTAACAATGCCACCAGGATGCTGTCTTCACTTTCAGGTGCTGTACTTGCTGTGTGCTGCAGCATTCATCTGTTGCTACAGGACCACTCCCGGCCCCACCACACACACAACTGGACAGGGACCCTGGCTGGTTTTGCTCACTTTCCTATCCCCAGTACCCACACACAGGAAGGCCTGAATCAAGACTTGTTGGATGAGCCATGGGCGAGGAATGGAACCAGGCACCTGCCTGCTTAGGGGTGGCGTTTGCGTGTTATCCCTGCTTATCATGGTGCACTGGTTCTCTCGCAATGGTTCCAATGCAGTGATATAGTATATGGTCTGCCTCATTATTGGGGAAAAGTAGTTCACCTCAGAGCTTCTGCTCTTTCCACGTTTCCCCTTCAAGTCCAGAGGTTTTTCTTCTTGTTCCTGAGATATTCTTTTATATTCTCCCTACCCCCAGAAATATATAAAAATTGTTTGCCCATTCATTGCAGAACCGTCCTCCTGGAGGGTTGCCATGGTGATTGAATGATGTCACCACCTAGGAAACAGTTGCCTAGGAGATGGGTGAGGTCACTTCCAGGAGATGATTACTATGGTAACCATTTCGATGGAACTAGGGGGTGGCCAGGAAAGTGAAGGGGGTGGAGGGCGGATGCATAAGGGACAAACGTGAAGGGCGGAAGGAAAGGGGGGGAGGGGAGTTTCCGGGATTGCAGGAAAAAAGGCCAGGAAGAGGATGGGAACCATCCCAGAGCGGTTGAAAATAATACAGAATTTCAGAAATGGAAAGACACCCAAAGACCACAAAAAACACCCACCCCATTTTTAGAGATTGCAAGGCCAGGACTTACCTAAGATCACACAGTCAGTTAACCAGCGACATTGGAAGCAAGAGTGAGGCCTCCTGACCCTCGATTTCTTATGACTCATCAGTAGATTGAGTGGGGAAATGAATTCTTTTTGGTCATTTTTCTTTTTGAAAATTGTGGCCTCTATCAATTATTCATTTAATTAATCAATTATTCTGTGAGCTATGTGCTAAGCCCAGGAGAAGAACCTGACTACCATTTTCAATGTTAGTTTGTTTTGATTTGTTTGGGTTTTTTTTTAAGATTGTACTCATTTTTGCATAGAACAACTGGGGTACAGGCCAGAGGTCGGGGGGGTGAGGGTGAGAGGATTCACCAGAGACAGAGTGGGGAGCAGAACAGATAGATCTACTGAAATACACTGCTAAGGGAAGCAGGAGGCGAGACATGAGAGGTCTGTTGCACCATGTAGGTTAGCTTCCTGGCCAGGAATCGAACTCAGACAGTCACAGTGGGCATTCATAGTGGTAGCACTGAGATTTAACCCCTAGGACACCAAGGAGGCCTCTTCAATCTAACTTCATTATTTTGTATGTTGATTATATTCCCCACCCGAGTGTCCCCCACCCTTGGTGACATAAAATTCACTAAGGTATCTCCAGCACCCTGCCCAACATCCACCATATAGTAGGAGCTGAACTTGTTTGTTGAATGAAGACAGCACAGTAAATGCTATTGTGTGGCACGCGCACACTGTATACCCACAGCACAGGAGTACAGAGAGGTTCACAGTAGCTGACAGAGGGGTGGGCATTCATACATAGGATTTGGTTTTGTTTTTGTTTTTTCAAGATTTATTTATGCATACAAGAACTGGGGTGTAAGCCAGAGGTACAGGGGGTGAGAGGATTCACCAGAGACAGAGTGGGGAACAGAACAGGCAGACTGACTAAAGTACACTGCTAAGGGGAGCAGCGGGCGAGGCAGGTCTGCTGCGCCATGTGGGTTGCTCCCTGGCCAGTTGGGGATCAAACTCGTGCTGCAGTGGCTGGTGATAGCTTGGTAGTGCTGTATTTAGCCCCTGCGCCACCACAGAGGCCCACATACATAGGATTTGAATAAGCCAAGAGACAAAAGCCATTCCCAAAGCAGGGTGATGAGCCATAGTGAGAGGGGCTAAATAAGTCAGGTCCAGCTAGGGAGAGATTTTTAACTAGTGGTGTGTGGGTCACCTCTTCAATCACACATTAGTTGGAGCACTACAGATGCCCACTTTTCCAGTAGAAGGAGCCCCCAGGATTAGGTTGGGAGAACACATTAAAGTCCAGGTTGCTGGATTGTTCCTGGGAGTAGGGATGGGGCAGCAAAAAATAGGCTGAAGAGGCAAATGTAAAGACGGTAACTAAGAAAGGTACATCAGGGAAGGGAGATCTTCCAGGTCTGACCTGGCGTGTCAGACGTCCAGCCTCTACCTGGAGGCAACATGTTCATGAACGTCACAGGCCCTCAGAGCTCTGCCTCTTCCCAGGAAAATCACTTTTTTTCTCAGAGCCTCTGGATTGGAGTTACAGCCTAGCTCCCAAGAGTGTTAGCTTTGCAGTTTAAAACACACATTAAAGCCCCACTTGGCAGGGTGAGAAAGTTATCAACAGAAGGTATTTTGTTATTTTCCTTCTCCTCCCTGTCCTGCAGAATGACATGGGAGTTAGACTTTGGGAAAATGTATTTGACAGCGGATTCCTTTATTCTTTAGTTCACCCAACCTCCTGGAGCCCTTGATTTGCTAGGTGCCACAGGTCCAGTGGAGGGGAAGACCTGCTCAGTAACTTAGAAAAATGCAGACTGACCAGGGCCTCCCCTGGTGGCGCAGCGGTTGAGCGCTGGGCTGTGAAGGTGCCCGCAGCCTCTGAAGCACCGGTTCGATCCCTGGCCACCGGCGAGGGTCCCACATGGCACGCAGATCTCTCCTGCCATGCCCACTGCTCCCTTCAGCAGTGTATTTCGTTGGTCTGCCTGTTCTATTCCCTGTTCTGGCTCTGGTGAATTCTCTCACCCTCCCGAGCTTCTGACTATACCCAGTGCTTGTATAAATAAATAAATCTTTAAAAAAAAAATGCAGACTGACCAGAAGTCACCCACAGGAAGCTTCCAGTCAGATCAGAGGTTTCCTAAGAGATGGCATTTCATTAGCTTTGAAGGAAAGATCTGGTTCGGGCAGGCTGTCAGAGAGATTGTAGTAGTAAGGATAGCGACAGGAGGGGCTAGCTATTGTTGACTTTTCAAGGACTCCTTTTCTTCAGATGGGGATCAAAACAGCCAGAGTAAAGAGTCTTTCAGTAGTAACACTGCCCCAGTTCTGATGTTGGCTTTACCTCTTACTAGCTGTGGACTTCATTCCATCTGATACCTGACTTCTTCATCTGTCAAAAAGAGTATCATTCCTAACTTCCAGGGTCAATGTAAATATTCAAAGACCATGCATGCAAAATGCCCAAAACACAGTTGGGATCTGAAATAGTTTTCATCAGCATAATGACTGGGCTTTATAATGGAAGATGATCTGTTAGTCCCACCCAGCTGGGAATCTGTGTTTACAGGGCTGCCTGATAGCAGGTCTCCCGTGGACTCTGCATGGGAGCCAAGTGTGCAAGGCCAACAGTCAGAAAGCAGTTGAGTTTACTTTGTAGAGCCAAGAAGGGTCCTGGGCTTCCCAACCCCAAGTGACTTAGATGGCCAATTATTTACTCAATTGCTCCATTATCAAGAATCCTACACTTTTCCCCATTTCAAACAAATGGAGTTTTGAGCAGTAGCAGTTTTGAAAATCTAAGCAATATCACCAATAAATATAAATATCCTGGTATTATTCCTTCTAAGTGAAAACATTAAGAACATTATCACCAGAATACAATCACATCCTTTTTTTGGAGTAGGGCACAATGAAAAGAAACATGAACAAGAATTTAGGGGACCCAAATGCAAGTTTAGGTTCTGTCATTAATTTTGCAGGGTGACCCTGGAAAAGCCAATTCATTTCTCTGGACTTCAGCTTTCCCCACTGTCACTCTGAGATGACTCCTTCATAAAGTTATCTTAACAGAAGTCTCAAAACTTAAGTGTACAGAACTGGAAAGAAAGCTTATACAGCAGAGATTATAGAGTAGAGAAGCCCTCCAGGTTTGGGCCACATATAATTTATAGTGTCCTCATAAATCCTCTCAAAGAACCCCACTTATTGCTTATGGGGTTAATTAATGGCAATTATGTGTCCATACATCTCCCCCAGACCAAAGGATACCTTATACACACAGCACTTGGAATAAGAACATATCCAAAATCCTGCATGTAAAAATAAGGGACTTGAGCCTCAGAGCATGTCTTCTCAGGGCTGCTGGAAGCCTTGACAGCACAACCCTGCCAGAACCCACCAGAGGGCAGTGAGAACTCTGAATTAGAAGTCTGGGCACAGGTCTGTGACTTACCAGCTATGTGACTCCCAGGAGTCCATCTTTGTAGCTCAGCTTCCTCATCTGCAAAATGGGGACAAAACCACTCACAAGAGAGTTGTAAAATGAAAATGTGAATCCTCTAGGTGCTGGAAGTTTTTATATCTGTATGTTTATTAGAGACAAGCGTTCTGGCCATATAAGCTTGTGGCTTTAAAATACCTGACCTATTAATTGAAGTGAAACTCAAAAACCATTTTAACTTACAATTAGGTCAACCTGAAACAGGTTTCCCAAGGGATACCTCATTGGTCATGCCTCTACTTCTGAAAGAGAAAATAGGTTAAACTTGTGTTTAAAAGTTCTATGCTCTCCACAATATAAGTTCAAGGACAGAGACCATTTTCAACAGTTCAGTGTTAAGCTTTATTTATCCACTAGTTAAGGATAAGGTGTTAAAGACCTTTGTGTAACTGAACCAATCCACTTGAACAAGCACATTCAGTCCTGGGCACCACATTGCAGCTGATAAAATTTGTGAGGGGCCAGAGTCCACATTACCCAAGAAAGAGTTTGATTGGTAACGCTAAACCTCAAAAAATCTTGGGGTGGAGACAGAGTTCTTAAAGGATTAGGTCTTTTTTATTTTGAAATTCAGATGGATATTTTGTTCTTCTAGTTTAAAGAACATGCAAAGCTTTCTTAGTTAATAACCACTAAAGACTATTTCAGGGATCCAGGTTGTGGCCTATCACATGTAATGCAGGAAAGAATAGTTAAGAAAACAAAGGACGTGTATAGGTTCACTATCTACCATGAGTATTAAACATCAATTAACACCCCAGTAGCGTGGTCGAGCAACCCCCTCCCAAATTAAGCACAGACCTGACCATTCATGGAGGTGCCAGACGTGGACAGCAGCATCCTGGCCTGCACAGCTGCCTGTACACAGGCTCCAGTTATGAGAAGAATGGGTCATAGATGCTGTTAGCCGAGTTCACAAAGAACAATTTAAAATTCATGAGTCCTATGTGTGCACTATGACATATGTACTGGAATCAGAGAATGGGAAAACTAACTGAACTGAAAAATGTTTACTGCTTCGGGATTCAAAATGGTGACCAGTTAAATAACTCTTTGAGAGGGGGAAATCAAGACCATAAACATAGAGATTATATCCCCAAAGCAGCATTTATTTACCCATTGAATTCCAAAACATTTAGAAGTCCAGCATTTCATAATTATCCATCTTTACTGACATGAGCAGAAACACATGGCGCTGTCAGGATACACAAGGACAATAGCCGAAGTTACAAAAAATAAATCCGTGATTCTTAAAACAACCGCAAAAAAAAAAAAAAAAAAAAAAAAGGTTACAGGTATCAAAACTTCAGGTGCGTTGCATTGAAAAGGTTTGTGCACATCATAATTTAAAGAGGCAAAACAAGGCTGAAACCTCACTGTGAAAGTTTATTATAAAGCTGATGGACAGGAGAAAGAGGTTTCTTCTGGATCAGCTTCCCTTAACGATTTTCCATTAGCTGAAGAAAGAGGTGGGAGGGGTGAATTCATTTTTGCATGCACAAGATGTACTGCTTAACAAAACACTATCAGCTTGTTTTAAATGGATCATTTAAATATCAATTGTAGCCTGTGTTGGCTATTTCTCCTTCTAAACTTCCCCAAGGCCCTCACCTGGATTTCACACAGATCAGTAGGCATAGCAAAATGCCTCATTCTGAACGCACTTGTCTGCACAATTCAAAAAGGGAGCTCCTGTGGGCTCAAAGCAACCATCATTCCAGCAATGCCCATGAAGACTTATCTGAAACTGCTTCCCAAGGGGTAGGAGAGCAGATCTGAGTAGCTGTGCTGCCAATACAGATAGGTTTAGCACTAGATATTTAGTGATTGTGGCAAGGAAGAATCGGTGATGATGGGGGTAGTGGGTGAAAGAAGAGCCAGGGACCCGAAGGCTCTTCAGTTGCCTTCTCCTGCTTCTTCATCTTGCTGGTCGCTCGTCCAGAGGGTGAGGTTGTCTCGCAGCAACTGCATGATGAGCGTGGAGTCCTTATAGGAATCCTCATTTAGTGTGTCCAGCTCAGCTATGGCATCATCGAAGGCTTGTTTGGCTAAGAGGCAGGCCTGCTCAGGTGCATTCTGGATCTCATAGTAGAAGACAGAGAAGTTGAGGGCCAGGCCCAGCCGGATGGGGTGCGTTGGCTGCATGTGCTCTTTGCTGATTTCAAAGGCTTCCTTGTAGGCAGCCTCAGAAGCTTCGACCACACTGTTTTTCTTCTCCCCGGAGGCTACTTCTGCCAAGTAGCGATAGTAATCGCCTTTCATTTTCAGGTAAAATACCTTGCTCTCATACTGGAAATCATTGCAGTTCTTGATGAGGAACTTGTCAAGCAGCGCCAGGACATCATTGCAAACTGTTTCCAGCTCCTTCTCAATCTTCTCCCGGTAAGCTTTAACTTTCTCCAATTTCTTTTCATTTCCATCAGCCATGGTTTTCTGCTCAATGCTGCTGATGACTCTCCAAGAGGATCGCCTAGCACCAACCACATTCTTGTAGGCCACAGAGAGGAGATTTCGATCTTCATTGGAAAGAGGTTCATTAAGTTCCGTCACCTGCAAGGCCCCAAACAGATAAACACTGAGAGCCAAGTCTGAAAATCTTGGAAAGACACATTCCCTTCAACCTTAATCAAACAACTCTTCTCAAAAGCAAGATTATGGACAAGCCACTATGGAGAAAAACCAGTCAGATATAGACACTATCTGTTTGGAAGAGATAAATACTGAAGCTTAAAATAATCGTGATAAGGGCCTCAAGAAATCTGTAATTCAGAACTTCCTGTTGTCTTCATCTTGGCTGAGGTATAGGCATAAGGATACTCAGAAGTTTTAAGGTGGTGACACATAATGCTGGGTGAAAGAAAACCTGAGATTCTGCTATTCCACAAAAAAAATAGTCAACTTTAATAAGTTCATATAACTCCCCTGTCAAATGTTCAAAGACTGACTGGAACTGTTACAGGGCACCCTGGGTATGAAATGGGTTGCCTGATTGTGGGTCCTCACCCATGCGCTTAAAAGGGACTTACAATAATACTCAGCTGCAGGCACACACAAAAAGGTGAATAAAGGGTTTATTTACAAAAGCAGGGGAAATAACTCAGGGAGAAAAAGAGGGAAAAATTCGTGAATGCGCCCTACCAGTTCTGCTGACCTGGAATCCCAATGGCACACTGAGAGCTGGTGAAAATCCAAGAGTCAAGCCAGGAGCCAAGAGGCCAAAGGGACCTCCAAGGCCCACAAGCCTGGCTGCTCAGCTCCACCCTCAGGTCCCAGCAACCCTTCCTTCAGTGCTGATGGGATTTATAGAATGGAGAACTTTTGTTTTTCACAATGGACAATACCTGGAGAGACTGACTGTGGTTTTTCTTTTCAACTGGAACCCTGAAAAATTTTCATCTGAGACTGCACCCCAGCATCTATACATTTGACCTTCATCACCATAGAAATGGTGCCAAAAAGTGAAAGAGGGGAATTGTTAGGCGGAAAGGATGTCCTGAGCAAACTCTATCATATAGGTTTTGTGGACTCCACTCCAGACCAAAGCCATCAAGACACCAGGAACTACAAATCCCATCATCACTGAGTGAGGGTTGCTGGGACCTGAGGGTGGAGTTAAGCAGCCAGGTCTGGTATAAAACTAGACATGTGGGCCTTAGGGGTCCCCTTGGCCTCTCGGCTCCTGGCTTGACTCTTGGCTTTTCGCCAGCTCTCAGTGTGCCATTGGGATTCCAGGTCAGCGGAACTGGTAGGGCGCATTCAGAAATTATCTCCCTCTCTTTCTCCCTGAGTTATTTCCCCTGCTTTTGTAAATAAACCCTTTATAACCTTTTTGCGTGTGCCTGCAGTTGAGTATTATTGTAAGTCCCTTTTAAGGACGCAAGTGAGGACCAAGTCAGGCAACCCATTTCATATCGGGGTTGCCCTGTAACAGAACTTGTTCCAGATTCTACTTCCAGCTTCATATTCTAGGGGAAAAAAACAATCACACATCTCAAATATTAATAGATAAGAATTTCACAGATGAGCTCAAACACCATAGGGATCTAGCAGCCAGAGCTTCACCCTATTTGGTTAAGCAGGGAATCCCACTGGCAGACGCAGTGCCCACATACCCCTCCAAAGCCAAAAAAAATGCATCAACGATAGTAAAGTACCCTCAATCTCTGCTGAAAAGGGAGCATAGCTATTCAGCTGCAAGTTTTATTCTGACCTACTTAACAAGAAACCCTGTCTGACCAACAAAGATAGAAGCACCAATTACCTTAAGTGGGAATGTTAAATTTCAAACAAATCATAACTTCCTTTATGTCAATACCAGGCAAATCAGCTAGGTAATCAATAGAAAAAGAGTAGCAGACCTTGTTATGTTGTTGAATTGTATACCCCCAAAAGATATGCTAAATCCTAACCCCTGGTACCTGTAAATATGATCTTCCTTGGAAAGAGGACCCTTGTAGATCAAGTTAAGATGAAGTCACACAACATTAGCGAGGGCCCTAAATCCAATGACTTGGTGTCCTTAAAAGGAAAGGGATATCCAGAGTCTCACAAACACAGTGAAAGAGCACACCATGTGATGATGGGGCCAGAGATCAGACTGCTGTGTCTTTAGCTAAGGAATATCAAGGATTACCAGAAGCCACCAGAAGCTAGAAGAGGGGCAAGAGGGTTTTCCCTAGTGCCTTCAAAGAGCAAAGTTCTGCCCACACCTTGATCTTGGATGTTTAGCTTTCTGAACTGTGCTAAGTTTGTTTTAAGTCACCCAGTTTGTGGTATTTTTGGCTGTCCTAGGAAACTAATACAGACATAGAATCAGCAAACTTTGGCCTGGGTCCCAGAAAAGCCTCAAACTTGCAAAATCAACCTGTATCTTCTATAAAGTAGAGGAATTCCTTAATTAAATGACCTACTGGTAGAAGTGTTTAAATAAAAAGTATTTAGGAAGCCATAACACTAAACAAAAAAAGTCTTACTTAAACTATAAGGACAGAACCCCCTCTAACAGAAGGGAAAAGTCAAGTTCAATGGATAAAATGATTCACAGCATATTAACATAGACATGTTAACATGGACTGAGAAGATTGAGGAGTGGAGAATCATTTTTCAAATGAACATAAAGATGTTCATTTTATTTGAAAAATTAGGAGTTCCTGGGCCTCCCCTGGTGGTGCAGCGGTTGAGCGCTGGGCTGCGAAGCTGCCCGCAGCCTCTGAAGGCCGGTTTGATGCCCGGCCACCGGCGAGGGGCGAGGGTCCCACATGGCACGCAGACCTTTCCTGCCGCACCTGCTGCTCCCCTCAGCAGTGCATTTCATCAGTCTGCCTGTTCTGTTGCCCGCTCTGGCTCTGGTGAATTCTGTCACCCTCCCACACGTCTGACTGTACCCAGTGCTTGTATAAATAAAAAAATAAATCTTTAAAAAAAAAATTAGGAGTTCCTGAAATAAGCAAAATGTAATCATAATAGGTGAAATGAAAAACTTTGTGCCAAGTTTTTAAAAAGTAAAACAAGCAAATGTGTACCACCACCTCCAGCTCCCTCCTCTACTTCCCTCATTCCCCTGTCCCCAGGACCCCTATTCTTTTTGCTGCAAATCCTTAACCCAGGAGCAACTCTCCTCCTTTGCCCATTTGACTAATCCAACCTTACCGCTTTAGCGTGGCAAGCATTCTTAGAATCTAGGCAAACTAGGAAGTAGCTAAGCTTATAAGCAGCTCCTGCCATTCCTAGCAGGGCTGCCCACAAGTCAGGTTCCTTAAGCTTCCTCACACCAACATGCACGGTCCCCACTTCTCCCTGTGAGCTGCTTCAGTCCAGGTCAATCTTCCACGAATCCAAAATCCTTGCCCTTCAATTCCAGCTGAAAACCTGTAACCCCACTAGTCTTCTCTAGTGAGAGCCTTTAAAACTTCCATCTCAAATATTCTGACAAATCTCAGAATCTGCTGGAATCTTCTAGAATGACTCACTTTCCTAAGGCAATATTCAATAAAATAAAACATGATACAAAAACAGAATTCAGAGAGTTCCTCAGGATTTTGGAAAAAGAAGTCCAACTTAGGTTGCTTGACATTAAATTGCAATTAATATCCATGGTGTCACTAGATACTTCATCCTGACAAAGCTGAGAAACAGATAGTCTCAAAGATCCACAAAGTAAATCCCAGAGTGTATCATTAAAATTGACCGCACATGGGGCATCCCTGCTGGAACAAGGGGTTTAAGGTCTCAGCACTATCACGCTATCTCCAGCCACTGCAACATGAGTTCAATCCCCAGCCAGGGAGCTACCCATATGGCTCAGCAGACCTCTCCTGTCTTGCCCGCTGCTCCCCTCAGCAGTGTATTTCAGTAGACCCACCTGTTCTGCTCCTTGCTCTGTCTCTGGTGAATCCTCCTACCATCCTCACTCCTACCCTCACCGCCTCCCCTCGCACCACTGGCCTACATCCCAGTTCTTCTATGCATAAATAAATCTTTAAAAAAGAACATAAAATTGACTGCACATCTGAAATACACTTACATATCATGTAGTATATCTGTACAAAGCACAGTATCATTACTTTAGGGGAAAAAAAAAAAAAAGACATCTGGAGTTTAGCCTGAGTTAGTTGTAAGACCTTGAACAAATCACTACTTTTCTGAGCAACAAAAACAAAACAAGGGGAATCAGCCCAACAATTTTCAAGAACTTCAGTTACAAATTTTTGAGCAACAAAAAAGGTTGGTAAGACATGAGGTTGACACCATTATGATAAGTAAATCTAGGGTCCATCTGTTGGTTTCAGCAATTCATGTAGCATATTCCTTCTCCAGCAGGACATAAACTGCCTCCAAAAGGCTACTAGGCAATATTTATAATGATACCTTCACAAGAAAAATCATTTACTAGGAGTATTAGTGTTTATGTAACAATCATCTGGTTGCCTGCCAGTCTGAATGAATCACTATAGGCATCAGCTGAGGGTGACTAACATAACTAAGAAAGTATTGTTCTTAGAATCTCAGCTAAAGCCTAACTAGGAAACAACTGGATGTGTTTAAATATAGTATATTTTAATACTCCCGATTTACAACTCGCTTAACAAAAAGGAACTTATGGAATAAAGATAGTTTTATTACTTGATCAGATAACTACAGAAAAACAAGTTGTCTCCAAATTGGAAAATTAAAGACCAAAGTGAAATCAGTGGACTATTAAGACAAACAAGATTTACAGACAGTCTTGACTGGTGATACTTACTGTGAATAACCTTTGTTAAAGTTAGCACCCATTCCCAACACTTCAAATTCCAAAATACTGGAGCCAGAAGATCTAAACAAAAGTTCATTTCCTAAGAAGCAGACTCTGGTAGGCAATGAGCACAATGGGAAGGAAAGCAATACACTACTAGTCCCAACCACTCGGATACAAAACCAGCAAGATGATCATCTGCAGGGTCCATGGAGATGACTTACTGCACCTCCATGATCATAGGTATCTTTGGTTATAATTGGGACATGAAAAAAGAATTTTTGAGTTGTCCTAGACAGCCTTTCTATGTCAATGA